TGGACGGGGCTCGTGCGGGGCTGCCGAGGGAGGAGGGCGGCCCCGTGCCGGGGGGCGCTGGGCCTCTGCTGCAAGCTGACCCGCGCCCTGCTTCTCCCCCAGAGTCAGCCGAGGAGCACTTGGGAGAGACACCCCAGCACTGCGGGGACAGCGACTCTCCCAGCACTCACTGTTGATGGGTGAGATGACTGCGAGGAAGCAGGAGGCCGACGACTCGATGGAGCCAGGTGAGAGCAAAGCATCCCTCCCGCAGCATAGCAGAGGGGCTGTCGGGGCGCTCAGCGTGGGGCCGAGAGCGGTGGCAGGGGCAGGCAGGAGCTCCCCAAGCGCCCCGGGGCAGGGCCCCTCCGTGCCGCAGCCAGCGGGGCCCAGGCTGGGCCGTGGGCACCTGCTGCTGGGACACCCGTGCCTGCAAGGCCAGCCCTCAGGGACGCTTGCCCCGGCCCTGCAGAGGTGAGCTGCTCATTCCCGCTGTCGTTTGCTCTCTCCCCTCCAGCATGCATGCTGTGTGGCCGGGCAGAGGCTGACCCGGACATCTGCGGGTACAAACTGCAGAAGCGAGGGCTCTGCGCCCACCTCTTTTGCCTGGTGAGTGCCCCCGGGGCTCCCTCCAGCTTGCCGACAGGCAGCCCCGGCCACGCTCTCCTCCTCATCACCTCCTTGTCTTGTCTTTCCTGCGCAGTTTTTTGCCAACAGGCCTCTTCCAGAAAGAGTCCCACAACGTGGGCCTGATGGGATTCCCCCTGAGGGATATTCGCCATACAGTCGAGCAGGCAGCGCAGCAGGTAAGGACTGGACAAGCTCAGGGAGATCTGTGGTGCCACGGGAGCGGTGTGGGAGCTTAGCCCAGACCCCAAGAAAGAAATCCCAGCCCTTCCAAGCAGCTCTGGGACAAAAGTCTCGCGCCCAGCAGCTCCACAGAGCCTCCACCCAGACCCAGCACAGGAGCCTCGTGCGCCGGGTGCATCCACGGGCTCTGACCCAGCAGTGGGGCAGCATCCTGCACCCTGCCCAGAGGCGTGGGGCTGGCTCTGGAGGCCCTGAGGCTGCCGCTGATGGGGGCTGCTCTGCTCTTTCCAGCGCTGCTTCGTCTGTGGCGAGAGCGGGGCCGCCATCACCTGCTGCCAGGAGGGCTGTGACCGCAGCTTCCACCTCCCCTGCGCCGTGGAGGGGGAATGCGTCATGCAGTTCTGTGGGCTTTACAGGTAAGGGTAGCCGGCCCTCCCACAGGAGGATCACCCACTTTTTTATACCCCTTTCTGACAGCATCAATAAGCAAACATAAAACAAGCCCACAGTGACACTTCCTAGCAGACAGTCATGGACAGAGCGAGTGGTGGGATTCCTTCACACATTATCACCCATCATTCCCACCAAAACACTCCTCACCTCACCCTTCCCTTTCCTCTTGCCTCCCCAGGTCCTTCTGCTGGCAGCACCGCCCAGAGCAGGCAGTGGAGGCGGCTCCGGGGGAGAACACTGCCTGCCTCATCTGCCTGGACCCGGTGGAGGACAGGAAGTCCTACGGCACCATGGTGTGCCCAGCGTGCAAACACGCCTGGTTCCACAGGGCCTGCATCCAGGTAGGAGCCCTTCCCTCGCCCACGGGGGGGGCACGGCGGGCGCCCAGCAGCACCAAGGCCTCACGCCTGCTCCTCATGTTTCCCCTGCAGGGACAGGCTGCGCGCGCCGGCATTTGCTTCCAGTGCCCTTTCTGTAGAGATAGGCGTGCATTTCTCAAAGAGATGCTCACCATGGGCATCCGAATCCCATTCAGGTTGGTGTCCTGCCCGCCCCACCAGACAGGAGGGTGCCAGCGTTGTGCCGTGCCAGGGACTGCCCCTGCGCTCCCGGCCCTCCGCTCTCTCCCCTCAGCCTGGGCTTCAGCTTCACGCAGGAGTCAGAAAGCGGGCAGGGGGGGAAGAGCAGGGACGCCCTGCCTCTGCCTTATGCCGGGGCAGCAGGGGCGCAGCATTTTTCCCTTGTGCTTCAGATTGCCATCATGGGAGAATGGGCACGCAGATGATGAGCAAAATGAGAGGCACAGCCGCTGCGATGCCCGTGAGTGCCTTTGCCCAGGAGGCAGGCAGCACACAAAGCGACAGGGGTAAGTTGCCCGAGCGGCAACCTGGGCTCTGCCCAGGATCTCTGTCTCGCCAAGGGCTCGAAGCGGAGGGACGGAGAACAAGAGCTCTGCCGGACAATCCCGTGCTGCGGTCACTTTGTCCTCACAGCCACGCACCCGTTTGTTTCCCCAGGCCCTGGCAACTGCTCCTGTGCTGCTCCTGCGCTGCCGAGGGCACCCACAGACGATGCTCCCACTTGGGGACCGGCGCAGCCAGATGGGAGTGCAACAGCTGTGCTGGCCTGGGCACCGGTAAGAGGCAAAGCACCCGGGTGCCCCCGGGCGAGGCCTGGCAGCGGGTGCCCATTCTGGGCTTGGCAGAGCCCCTCTGCTCCAGGGGGGCTGGGGGCACAGTTCTGGCCTCTCCTGCCGCGGGCCTGGGGGGCCGTGCCCGTGACCTTCCTGCTCCCCCTTACAGCCTCCAGTGGCAGCTCGGAGGTGGCGGGTCCCATCACCGAGAGCCAGTCAGGATCGGGGCCATCCCACAGCTCTCCAGCACCAGAGACCAGCAGCCCCAGCAGCACTGGTCTCCAGGCGGCATCGGGGCCATCCCAAAGCTCCCCAGTGCCTGAGAGCAGCAGCTGCTCCAGCCCACCTGGGCCTGACCGTGTGCGAGACCGAGCTCGCTCACGGCGTAGTGCCCAAAAACCCTACAGCCGGCCCACAAGACACCGTGGCAGGAGCAGTGCACCAGCACGCAGGGCTGAGAGGAGCACCCCAGGACAGTTGGCACGGGGACGGTCCCACAGCTCGCTTGTCCCTGAGTCCAGCAGCCCCAGCACCAGCACCACGGCGGCATCAGGGTCCTCCTCCAGCTTCACAGAACTGGAGAGTAGCAGCCCCAGCAGCACTGGTGGCCAAGGGGCATCGGGGCCGTCTCAAAGCAGCTCCCCACCACCTGAGAGCAGCAGCTGCTCCAGCCCACCTGGGCCCGACCGCGTGCGAGACCGCTCTCGCTCGCGGCGTCGGGCCCAAAAGCCCTACAGCCGGCGCACAAGAGGCCGTGGCAGGAGCCGCGCACCAGCACCCAGGGCTGAGAGCAGCAGCCCCGCACAGTCGGTGCCGGGATGCTCCCGTGGCTCCCCGGTACCCGAGACCGGCAGCCCCAGCACCCCCAGCTCTGCACGGCTCCAGAGCAGCCGCCGCCCCAGCCGCCCCGGGCCCGTGCGGGGACGAGACCGCTCCCGCTTACGACGTCGGGCCCAGAACCCTTACAGCCGGCCCGGACGCTGACGCGCGACCAGCCCTGCGCCGGCCCTGCCTGCTGGCCCTGATCCCCCACCACCGCTCCAATAAAGTTGACTGTTAATCTCTGCCCTGGGAGATTCCACGCTCCTTTGTTGGCTTCCGCCGGGCCCACAGGGTTGTCTTCTCCCCGGGGCTTGGCAGCACCTTCCCCAGACCTCCCTCCTCGCGGGCTGGCCTTGGCCGGCTGCCCAGCGCCATGGCCGTGGGCTTCGGGCCTCGCTGGCCCCGCAGCCTGCTCCGCTTCCCCGGGGAAAGTTCGAACGCACAAGCGGCAAAGCGCCTCTGCTTTCAAAGTTCCCCTCAGAGTCACCTCTGGAGGTGTGACATGAAGGTTGCTGCAGATGGTGCTGCTACAGTAGTAGCCAAAGGGCATTGCCCTTCCCCAGTTCCAGCTCCTGTCGCCCACCGTGGTTGCTGCTGTACCAGCTTGTCCTGGCTTTGAGGGAGCGGTGGGGTTTTTTGGTAGCAGGGGAGGGGGCGACAGCGCTGGCCCTCTCTGAGAAGCTTCTCCAAGCTCCCCCGGCTCCAAGCAGGCCCTACCTCTGCAGCAGGGCCGAGCCAAGCAGCTCCACCTCTGCGATAACGCATTTAAGAAGGGACCTGGTGAGGAGGAGTGGGACTTGTGAGGAGGACTTGCCGCAGCTGCGTGAACACCAAGGCCAGTGGGGGAACGGAGGAAGAAAGGAGGGGGGAGGTGTGCCAGAGCAGAGTCTGCCCCACTGTATCCTGTGGCGAGACGGTGTCGTGGTTTAGGCCTGGTCCGCAGCCAACCGCAATGCAGCAGCTCTCTCTCCCTTCCCCTCCGGCAATGAGAAGGGACAGAGAGCCAGGCTTGGGGTTTGAGATAGGACTGGGATGGGGAAAAATTCCCCTTTCTGATCACGAGCAAAAGGCAGCCTCGTTAGGGGAAGAAAAAAAAGAACATACATTTATTACAGACACTAACAACACATAACAGAGTAGGACAGTGAGAGGCATCGCCACATCTTGAGAACACCTTCCACCCACCCCTCCCTTCTTCCCGGGCTCAGCTCTGCTCCCGATATCTCTACCTCCTCCCCCAGTGGCGCAGGGGCAGGGAATGGGGGGTGCAGTCAGCGCTGCCACTTCTCTTCTCTTCGGTGAGGGGACTGTCCGGAACTTGTTCCTCCTTCTCCATCGTGGTCCCCCTCTCACAGGAGACAGTCCTCCACAAACTTTCTCCGACATGAGTTCCTCCCATGGGCCATTTGCACTTTCCCTGCCCACCAAGGACGGGCTCACACTGTCTCTGAAAGGCAGTTTATTGCCACGGAGGAAGCCAGGCCGTTTGCGCCGTGAGTCCCCAGCTCGCGCTGCCGCTGCTTTTCCTTCTGGAGGCAGCACGTCACCAAAGCGCTAAGGACGACTTCGGGAGATGACGATGTTGGGCCACCTGCGACGCTGAGGTGCCGTCCTGAGGCCCCGTGCTGTGCCCCGGCCACGCGCCGCGTCGGAGCGGATGGGCTGTGCGAGCCCAGGCCGGGCTCCAAGGTGGCTTCTGTCCCCTGGAGCCGGGAGCCCAGGGCCGGCGGCAGCCCTGCAGGTGCAGCCGCAGCGCTGCGGCGCAGAGAGGAAGGATCCCCTTCCCCTGACCTGCCGGCAGCGCTCCCCATGCCGAGGGCAGGAGCAGAGCCGCAGCCTGGGCCAGGGCTGCAGCCCTGGGCTCGCACGGCCTGACCAGCACCGGTCGGCCAACAGTGCCAGCCTCGACGGCTGCCCCGCGGGACCTGCCTTTCGGCTCTGCGCTGGCTGCAGGAGCAGCCGCCCCGCTCCCGGGGGTGCCGAGGGCTCGGGCCCCCGCCTCGGCACTTCGCACCCACCCCTGTGAGGCGGCGGCCGGCTCCGAGGGGCTGGCACGTTCCTGAGGGCGTCCCTGCCCGTCGTTGGGGTGCATCCAGGCCAACGGTGCTGATGTCACTGTGGCCATTGTGACCCGCGGGGGACAAGCCTGCATAAAGCATCGCTGGGCTCAGGCTGTGCCTCAGCGCGACCTGGTGAGGTGAGGGGAGGGCAGGGGTGGACGGGGCTCGTGCGGGGCTGCCGAGGGAGGAGGGCGGCCCCGTGCCGGGGGGCGCTGGGCCTCTGCTGCAAGCTGACCCGCGCCCTGCTTCTCCCCCAGAGTCAACCGAGGAGCACTTGGGAGAGACACCCCAGCACTGCGGGGACAGCGACTCTCCCAGCACTCACTGTTGATGGGTGAGATGACTGCGAGGAAGCAGGAGGCCGCCGACTCGATGGAGCCAGGTGAGAGCAAAGCATCCCTCCCGCAGCATAGCAGAGGGGCTGTCGGGGCGCTCAGCGTGGGGCCGAGAGCGGTGGCAGGGGCAGGCAGGAGCTCCCCAAGCGCCCCGGGGCAGGGCCCCTCCGTGCCGCAGCCAGCGGGGCCCAGGCTGGGCCGTGGGCACCTGCTGCTGGGACACCCGTGCCTGCAAGGCCAGCCCTCAGGGACGCTTGCCCCGGCCCTGCAGAGGTGAGCTGCTCATTCCCGCTGTCGTTTGCTCTCTCCCCTCCAGCATGCATGCTGTGTGGCCGGGCAGAGGCTGACCCGGACATCTGCGGGTACAAACTGCAGAAGCGAGGGCTCTGCGCCCACCTCTTTTGCCTGGTGAGTGCCCCCGGGGCTCCCTCCAGCTTGCCGACAGGCAGCCCCGGCCACGCTCTCCTCCTCATCACCTCCTTGTCTTGTCTTTCCTGCGCAGTTTTTTGCCAACAGGCCTCTTCCAGAAAGAGTCCCACAACGTGGGCCTGATGGGATTCCCCCTGAGGGATATTCGCCATACAGTCGAGCAGGCAGCGCAGCAGGTAAGGACTGGACAAGCTCAGGGAGATCTGTGGTGCCACGGGAGCGGTGTGGGAGCTTAGCCCAGACCCCAAGAAAGAAATCCCAGCCCTTCCAAGCAGCTCTGGGACAAAAGTCTCGCGCCCAGCAGCTCCACAGAGCCTCCACCCAGACCCAGCACAGGAGCCTCGTGCGCCGGGTGCATCCACGGGCTCTGACCCAGCAGTGGGGCAGCATCCTGCACCCTGCCCAGAGGCGTGGGGCTGGCTCTGGAGGCCCTGAGGCTGCCGCTGATGGGGGCTGCTCTGCTCTTTCCAGCGCTGCTTCGTCTGTGGCGAGAGCGGGGCCGCCATCACCTGCTGCCAGGAGGGCTGTGACCGCAGCTTCCACCTCCCCTGCGCCGTGGAGGGGGAATGCGTCATGCAGTTCTGTGGGCTTTACAGGTAAGGGTAGCCGGCCCTCCCACAGGAGGATCACCCACTTTTTTATACCCCTTTCTGACAGCATCAATAAGCAAACATAAAACAAGCCCACAGTGACACTTCCTAGCAGACAGTCATGGACAGAGCGAGTGGTGGGATTCCTTCACACATTATCACCCATCATTCCCACCAAAACACTCCTCACCTCACCCTTCCCTTTCCTCTTGCCTCCCCAGGTCCTTCTGCTGGCAGCACCGCCCAGAGCAGGCAGTGGAGGCGGCTCCGGGGGAGAACACTGCCTGCCTCATCTGCCTGGACCCGGTGGAGGACAGGAAGTCCTACGGCACCATGGTGTGCCCAGCGTGCAAACACGCCTGGTTCCACAGGGCCTGCATCCAGGTAGGAGCCCTTCCCTCGCCCACGGGGGGGGGCACGGCGGGCGCCCAGCAGCACCAAGGCCTCACGCCTGCTCCTCATGTTTCCCCTGCAGGGACAGGCTGCGCGCGCCGGCATTTGCTTCCAGTGCCCTTTCTGTAGAGATAGGCGTGCATTTCTCAAAGAGATGCTCACCATGGGCATCCGAATCCCATTCAGGTTGGTGTCCTGACCGCCCCACCAGACAGGAGGGTGCCAGCGTTGTGCCGTGCCAGGGACTGCCCCTGCGCTCCCGGCCCTCCGCTCTCTCCCCTCAGCCTGGGCTTCAGCTTCACGCAGGAGTCAGAAAGCGGGCAGGGGGGGAAGAGCAGGGACGCCCTGCCTCTGCCTTATGCCGGGGCAGCAGGGGCGCAGCATTTTTCCCTTGTGCTTCAGATTGCCATCATGGGAGAATGGGCACGCAGATGATGAGCAAAATGAGAGGCACAGCCGCTGCGATGCCCGTGAGTGCCTTTGCCCAGGAGGCAGGCAGCACACAAAGCGACAGGGGTAAGTTGCCCGAGCGGCAACCTGGGCTCTGCCCAGGATCTCTGTCTCGCCAAGGGCTCGAAGCGGAGGGACGGAGAACAAGAGCTCTGCCGGACAATCCCGTGCTGCGGTCACTTTGTCCTCACAGCCACGCACCCGTTTGTTTCCCCAGGCCCTGGCAACTGCTCCTGTGCTGCTCCTGCGCTGCCGAGGGCACCCACAGACGATGCTCCCACTTGGGGACCGGCGCGGCCAGATGGGAGTGCGACAGCTGTGCTGGCCTGGGCACCGGTAAGAGGCAAAGCATCCGGGTGCCCCCGGGCGAGGCCTGGCAGCGGGTGCCCATTCTGGGCTTGGCAGAGCCCCTCTGCTCCAGGGGGGCTGGGGGCACAGTTCTGGCCTCTCCTGCCGCGGGCCTGGGGGGCCGTGCCCGTGACCTTCCTGCTCCCCCTTACAGCCTCCAGTGGCAGCTCGGAGGTGGCGGGTCCCATCACCGAGAGCCAGTCAGGATCGGGGCCATCCCACAGCTCTCCAGCACCAGAGACCAGCAGCCCCAGCAGCACTGGTCTCCAGGCGGCATCGGGGCCATCCCAAAGCTCCCCAGTGCCTGAGAGCAGCAGCTGCTCCAGCCCACCTGGGCCTGACCGTGTGCGAGACCGAGCTCGCTCACGGCGTAGTGCCCAAAAACCCTACAGCCGGCCCACAAGACACCGTGGCAGGAGCAGTGCACCAGCACGCAGGGCTGAGAGGAGCACCCCAGGACAGTTGGCACGGGGACGGTCCCACAGCTCGCTTGTCCCCGAGTCCAGCAGCCCCAGCACCAGCACCACGGCGGCATCAGGGTCCTCCTCCAGCTTCACAGAACTGGAGAGTAGCAGCCCCAGCAGCACTGGTGGCCAAGGGGCATCGGGGCCGTCTCAAAGCAGCTCCCCACCACCTGAGAGCAGCAGCTGCTCCAGCCCACCTGGGCCCGACCGCGTGCGAGACCGCTCTCGCTCGCGGCGTCGGGCCCAAAAGCCCTACAGCCGGCGCACAAGAGGCCGTGGCAGGAGCCGCGCACCAGCACCCAGGGCTGAGAGCAGCAGCCCCGCACAGTCGGTGCCGGGATGCTCCCGTGGCTCCCCGGTACCCGAGACCGGCAGCCCCAGCACCCCCAGCTCTGCACGGCTCCAGAGCAGCCGCCGCCCCAGCCGCCCCGGGCCCGTGCGGGGACGAGACCGCTCCCGCTTACGACGTCGGGCCCAGAACCCTTACAGCCTGGCCCGGACGCTGACGCGCGACCAGCCCTGCGCCGGCCCTGCCTGCTGGCCCTGATCCCCCACCACCGCTCCAATAAAGTTGACTGTTAATCTCTGCCCTGGGAGATTCCACGCTCCTTTGTTGGCTTCCGCCGGGCCCACAGGGTTGTCTTCTCCCCGGGGCTTGGCAGCACCTTCCCCAGACCTCCCTCCTCGCGGGCTGGCCTTGGCCGGCTGCCCAGCGCCATGGCCGTGGGCTTCGGGCCTCGCTGGCCCCGCAGCCTGCTCCGCTTCCCCGGGGAAAGTTCGAACGCACAAGCGGCAAAGCGCCTCTGCTTTCAAAGTTCCCCTCAGAGTCACCTCTGGAGGTGTGACATGAAGGTTGCTGCAGATGGTGCTGCTACAGTAGTAGCCAAAGGGCATTGCCCTTCCCCAGTTCCAGCTCCTGTCGCCCACCGTGGTTGCTGCTGTACCAACTGAAGGCTTCCTTCTTGCTCTAGAAGACAAGAAATCCTTTTTTGTAGAGTTTGCAAACACCTCGTAAGGAATTTACTCCACAGAACTCATTGGAGCCAGAGCAGCACCTGTTACTGAAGCCTCGAGTCCTATCATATGCCCTTGAGAGCAAAAAAGTTCACATGGAGTTCTGGGTAACATGGGACCTGGGCAATGCCCATCATCCGAAAGGATTTCCCTCCTGTTGGGAGACGAGCTAGCCCCTCTCTAGTGCAGGGAGGAGAAAGGATTTGGTTGCAGACTGACTGCTGAAGATCTCTGTAGAAGCTGGCAGCGTGCTAGAAGCCTGAATCAAGAAATAAGGCGACCAAAGCGTGAAGGAAATCCTGTGGGGTGGCTGGACAGACTTGAACAACCCTCTGCTCTTCGGGCAAGCTATAGGTGGCCTTATCTGTGTGCATTAAGTGTCTTCCTCAGAGGCCTTCCTGCAGCATGGAAGTTGATGCCTTACAGGAGGGAACCGCTGTCCTCTCTCAGGTAGGCAAGGGAACCTGAGAAACCTGAAGGGCTTTTCTGCCAAGAAAGAGGCAGCGAGTAAGGAAAGGAGGTCGAGAGGGTCTAAAAGAGAACTCTGTGGCAGCACTTTGTCCTCCTATTCTTGACAGCTGTGTCTGGGAAGACGCATGGTCTGCATGTGGCCAGAACAGGGCGTTTGCGATGTGAGCTCCGAGGCACTCCCGAGCACTGGTGCTTGGTTGATGCCGGCTGAAGAGCTGTGGTCATGAACAGCCCCACTCTGAACCGAGGTGCTTGTTCCCTGGCACCGTTCACCTCTGACAGCACCCAGCTCACTGTGTTCTGTAATGCCTGGCTGTCGGAAGGCCACGACAAATCTCAGAAAGCCTGGTGAGAAGGAAACCCTGACCACCAGAGTTTGGCTTGGAAGGTGGCTGGTAGAAGAGGATGGCCGAGGACACTGGGAAGCCTCTAGTCACTCTCAGCAGTGTCAGACAGCTAGTGTTGTAGAAGGGCTTCTGGGGATTTCACATTTCTCTCTTAGTCCTGAATTGCCTTTGGGAACTGGATTCTCCAATACTGGATTTCACATTGCTTTTTTCCTCCTACGGTTGTTCCCGGGGCACCGTTTGGTTTTTGTCCTGGCAGGTTCAGTAGTGGACTCGGTGGTGCTCGGTGAGTAAATGTCCCTGATGTCTGGGCGCTCACCTGGGCCCACAGCCCTCACTGCCTTCCCTTCAGGGGGGACTCCTGCCTCTGGATCGAGCTCATACTGCAGCACCGTTGCCACAGACCCCCAGGGACTGATGAACAACCCCATCAGCTGCCCTGTGGCTAGCCCAGTTACAGCAGGTTTCTGAGGGTCAATGACCTCTGCTCTATACTTCCTCCATGCTCCTTTTTTTTCTCCACACGATGTCCTCGTAAGCCTTCAAGATGGTAGCTGGTAAGGGAAGGTTTCAGGCTTCCCTACCCTACCTGCTCCTTCCTAAACTTTTGCAGAATCTCTCCCTTGTAGAAGGATGGGAAGCTCAGGTGTGGAAGGAGATGACTGTGATAAATGGCAGAGAAGAATGTTCAGCAGTCGAGAGGCTTGTGCAAGGCTCTTCCACTAAGAATCCCTGGTTGTTTATTTTAGGAAAGATGAAGTTTAAATGGCAATTCAGTGATTGTGGAAATACACCACAGAGATAAGAAAGCTGAAAACTGTCTTGTTTTGCAAAGGAGAAGTTACAGGAGAGAACGTCAAAAAGCAAATAACTTAAGTACTGAGTAGATAAAGAAGAAAAACTGTGTTTTTTCTTAGGTACTCTTCTCTGTGTCTGCACAAGTTTGTCTGAGTCATGTTTTCATTTTGTTCTTTGTTTTCTCTCTTCAGAATTAATTTTGCAGTGTAGAAATTTGAAAACAGATATTAAAAAAACTTTTCACTTACTCTCACATATTCTTTGGTAAAGGCAAAAAGCTAAGTTCATAGGTAACAGGCTTTATCTTTGAAAGCCATGCGATCTGACTCAATTTGTAAATACCTTGGTGTGTCATGCTGCTTTTGAAGATGTTAAACTGAACTGTAATTTGTGGTGCATGATCCTCTCTCATTCTGAGGCTAGGAGGTCCTCCTAGTTGTATTAAATACCACATTTTTGCAGTATACTGCATTACTACTTCTGCACGCTCTTTTTTTCTCCTAAGAATTCCTGCAGCATTGATGTTCTAATGTGGTGCTTTCCTGTCATCCAGAGCTTCACAACTCCTAACTGCTAAACATACTGCATTGTAGTATGAAGAGTCCTCATGACATACCATTTACAACAGCATAGGATTTCAATCAAGACTAATGTTTTCAGGACATTTTGGTGGACATTCAGCAGAGTAAGCGGTACTACAAAGCCCTAAATTAGCAAAGAAATAAAAGTGCTGGTCATCTGCTATCAGCCCTCCTGACTTCATTAGAGTTTGTACATCTGTACATTTCAACCTGCATGGATTTTCATGGATAGCTGGAGAAAGTAAAGAAGCACTAACTTAAATTCTTTTTGACTTTTACTGTAACAAGGCACATGTTTGTACCCGTTTGCCAGGAGAGAATATTTTATGCAGTGGCACATCACTAGAAATTCCTCTTTCTAGTAAATTGCATTGTGCCTGGATCACCAGTGATGCTTAGACAAAATGGGTGATTTATTTGGCTAACGATCAGTGATTTCCTGGAATCTAATCACTGAGATCACTCAGGTCCTTGGAATATTTTAAGAATAAAAACTGCTGTATCAAATCACTTTGTTAAATTGTTATGATTGGCCGAAGGAGCATCTGCTTTAAAAATCATTTTTACACATTTGCAAAATTATGAAGGTGGCATTTTGATGACTTAAAATTTACTGGGGTTTTTTTCCATAATAATGTTTCATCTGTCATACTCGAGCAAACATTGATATTGCAAACATGAACGTTTAGTACCTTTGTCCAGTCTTCCCTTTCATCCCTTTTGCCTTTTGACACACCTTTTCTTTCCTCACAATTTTGTGGTTTCCCCTGGGGTGTTTCAAGTCAGAAGTCTGGGGACATTCTATCCAGGTATGCAGTATGAAAATGAATAAATACGAGCCGTTTCAGTGGGAAGAGGCGTCCCGGTGGCAGCAGTAGCGGGCTGCAGGCCGCGCTAGGCCGCAGCCGCCTCCGCTCCGCCCGGACGGTGGCGCCGGCTGCACGCGCTTGGCGGCCCGCGCGCCGGTGCCCAGGCACGGCAAAATGGCGGCGGGGGGGGGGGGGGGGGCGCGTCGCAACCACGGCGTTGTACATCAGCCCCTTAGCCCTCTCCTCGGCGGGCGTTCGGGGTTTTCGACAGGGCTGTTTATTGATCTTTTAGTTCTCCTTAGCTCAGCGTTGCTGTTATAAATCGAGACTACAATGGGTCGAACTCCAATTGAAATTTTATTAATTATAGCAAGTAGAATATGAGCAAAAACAGCGCTGGACAACAGGGCCGTCTGTGCTCCACCAACTGCCGTACTGAGGAGAACAAACTGTCCCTTTTTATACATTTTTTTTCCCGCGTTCATGGAGTGGTGAAGATACTATGTTTCAACTGTTGCTGGGGTCTGGAGTGGTGGAGATACTCTGCGCATGTGCTAGTTGTTGTTAGGGGGTCGTTTTCTGCCTTCTGGTGGTCGATGATATCCTTATATGGAGTTGTTTTTCTTCTGTTTGTTTTCTTGGGATATCTTGTGATCTGCAGCGTCGGCCATGTGTGCACAAGCAACACATAATTCCATGAACGATCTCCCCTCCTCTTATTATCTTTAAGTCTTAATAAACAATATACTTAACTCATAGTTTCTCACAATCCCCCCTTTTTCTTTTTATCCTACTATTGTTTATTAGACGCTACTTTCATTCCTAGCACTGCAAGCAAGCCTTCTTCCACAATTCCAGCATTTATCACAACATTCACAGGATAATATCTCACAATTACAATCATAATTCTTACATGGTATAACGCATTCACAACAATCTTCATCATCTATTTCTTCATTAATAGATACACTTTTATATTTTACCTCAGACCTTAAAATAAGTAATTTAGCTATGTCGAACCGTTCTCTAATAAAGCGTAAAATATAGCGTATTATACAAGGTCCAAATATAAGTCCCAGAATCAATATAATAAGCGGTCCTGCTAAAGCAGATAACAAAGTAGTTAGCCAAGGTGAAACATTAAACCAGTTTTCATACCACGATCTACCCGTCTCACGATCCTTTTTACGTTGATCTAACCTTTTCCGGAGTTCAGACATGGTGTCCTGGACTATTCCCGTATGGTCAGCAAAAGAACAACATTCTTCATTTAGAGCTACACATAACCCTCCTTCCTTTAAGAACAATAGGTCTAATCCTCTTCTATTTTGCAGCACTACCTCTGATAAAGACTTTACTGAAGTGGCTAAATTTTGTATTGATCGTTCTATTTTTGCTAAATCCTCATCTACAGCCATCTGCAAACTTTGTAATTCCTGACCTTTTACTAGGGAGGCTATGCCTGTACCTGCTCCAACTCCGCTCGCTATCAGCAGAGTAGCTAGGGTTATCACTGTAATTGGCTCTCGTTTTTGTCTATTCAGGTCTCCTTCAAAGTGGCGTAACACCTCCTCAGAGGAACAATAATCACCTGTATGCAAAACTGAGATTGATTAAACACGTTTAAGGATAGGCAAGGCGTTACTCCGATGTCTGAACAAACCCACTTAGCTCCTGGTGTCGGGATAGCCCATTTGTCATTTTGATCCTTGTGTCTTTTTATATTGGTGTTAGTGATTGTTTGGTTGCACAAGGGCTGATACCTTTTGGGAACTGTACCTATACATTTTCCTTGACCTGTTACTAATTGAATAGTAATTCCTTGTGTATGGTTCCTCTGGTCATCCCATTGGCATTCTTGTGGGTTTGAACCACTAGACCATTGAATCCTATCTGGTATTCCGATTGCCTCAAAATATGGTGGTCTAATATTGTAACATAACCAGCATTCCTTAGTTAAATTTGGTTTACTTTCATTAAGGGTACGATAAGAGGCTCGCATTAAATCCCATAAGGGGTCTTTAGATTCTGACACTCCTGAATCCCTAACTAAAGAGTACTCAGTCACCATGTCTTTAGTTGTTCTATCTGTTACTGATAAAAAGTTTGGACGAATGGTTGTGACACTTGTGGGAACCATCCTTTTCTTAGGAAAAATGGGTGAATTTAGGACTGAGTTTGGTCCTACTGGTAAGGGATCGTGAGACATCGGTCTTTTCATTATTTGAAAGATTCCTCCTCTGTCTCCCTCTGGTTCCCAATATCTAATTGCCCAATATTTTCCTGCTAACCATTGATCGTTGTCTGGGGTTTTAATTGTTATGTTAATACTTTTACAATATCCGTCATTGTTACAGTGTCCGAATACACGTCCATTGCTTCCTATGTGAGGTCTCTTACACTTTTCCGGTGACCACTTTATTTCTAGATATTCGTCTCCAGATGTGGACCACTCAGAGGCCCATGTTTCGCATCCCCAATAGCCACAGTAATAGTGACCTGGAAGGTTACAATAACTTCTTCCAGGATTGGACGCGGGACATATGTAGATTGGTTTGCACAGATCAGCTTTGTCTTTACGGTGTCCAGTAATTAGATCGCGCAAACTCACATTAAAACTAAATGTACCCGGTGTAGCCCGTGCTTGAATTGGATTATTTGGATGTTGTATGTTTGTTATTGTCCAATTCATAGGTTCATGAGGGTTTCCTCCTTTTGCCTGGGCTATTATCAGTAACAAGACTAACGGTATACCAGGAAAAAGGGTGTTTATCACTTTTGCCAATTTAAGTATATTTTTACCAGTCCTGGGGAAGTTAGACCATTGCTGCTTTTGCGTCCCATTGTTCTGATTCTTTTCTCCATGGTTTGTTCCTCCTCTGCCTCGCCCTTCGACTCGGTTGCTTCGAGTCACGGGGTGTACCGTCTTCTCGGCAGCAAGGGAATTCTTCAGGAGAACAGCTGTTTCGGGCTTTCTGCCTGTTTATATAGACTTCCCACTTTGCAGCTTTAACTAATGGGACAAAGCAAGACACAGTTAGTACTTCCCTTCTGCACTTTATAGCCAAAATTTCAGCTACAAAGGGGACCGGTTCGTCAGATTGGTACCGATAATATTGAGGGTTTATTTCTTTGGCAAAACTTTCCCACCACTCATGGGATTCCCCAAATAATTTCTTGTCTAATTTCTCACATTATGTCTACCATTTATCCTGGTATGCCTTGCACCTAAAACAAGCAAACAAGCAAATGGGTAACAGTTACAGTTTAAATGATTACACCTAACTCGTATATTTAAAATGCATACATTATTTATATCAGTATATTTTCTATATTCTAACAATTTTCTCTACCCCACTTAGTGCGTTTCCATATATAATAAATGAACAAGGAAATTATTATTGCAAGTAAAAACAGCAATATACACTTTATACCAAAAGGCAATGCGGCAAAATGCTCAAACAAAGTCTTTATCATTATCTCTTCAGGGTTATCTTGGTATCACCTGGAGTACTAATTACTTTCCATTGAGGTTTCGTCACGGGGCCTTTAATGCGACTGGCATGAGTCCATCCACGCTCAGCAGTCCGGACAGCTGTTTCTGTTGTTAGTAAAACAAGATAAGGTCCCTCCCAATTGGGTTTTAGGGTTTCTTCCTTCCGTACTTTAACCAATATCCAATCCCCAGGTTTAACATTATGAATTTTTAAGTCCAGCGGGGGTCGTTGCACAATCAGTCCATGTTCCCAAAGCTTATTACGATGTTCTGCTAATTGTGAAACATATTCATTAATCACATGGTCTCGAATTAAAACATTTGTTTGTGGATTTTCAATTCTATAGGACATTCCATACACCATTTCAAACGCTGATATTCCCACATCCGCTCGGGGTCTGGTTCTGAGAATTAATAGTGCCATGGGTATGCACTTAATCCATGACAATTTGGTTTCTATCATTAATTTAGTCAGAATAGTTTTGATTTCTCCATTCATCCTTTCAACTTTTCCCGAACTTTGTGGATGCCATGGTGTATGGTATTCCCACTTAATACCCAAGCTTTCGGTTAGATCTCTAACAATTTTTGACACAAAGTGTGTTCCTCTGTCCGAGTCGATTATTTCAGGCACTCCATATCGAGGTATAATGTGTTCAAGTAATACTTTAGTAACTTGGTTAGCAGTTGCCCTGGAGGTAGGAAAAGCCTCAACATAATGTGTTAAATGATCCACCATTACTAACAAATATTTATAACGCCCTACCCTAGGTAGTTCAGTAAAATCCACTTGTATGTGTGAGAAAGGTCTGTATGCTGGGGAACGTCCTCCAAGAGGTTTTTGTCTCATGTTGTTTCGATTAACCTTTGACAGGTCTCACAGGCTGCCGTGATTGTCTTTGCTATGTTATATACGCCTATACAGGCAAACTGTTGATTGAAATGATCAAATAATGCCTGGGTTCCCCAGTGTGTTTTGCTGTGTATTTTTGAAAATATTTCGAGTGCTATGCCTTTTGGCAAGACTTCCCTCCCATCTGGCAATATGTATTTACCCTCTTGTTCCTTAGCTCCCATTTGTTCTAGTTTTTCCTTTTCTGCAGACTCAAAGCTCAAATTTTTATTAACAGATACTTGTTGTATCGTCAAAATTGTATTATAATTGCCTGCCACTCGTTTTGCTTCTGTATCAGCTGCATTATTTCCCCTACCTTGATAACTTCTACCTCGCTGGTGTCCCTTTATATGTACAACATGAACGATCTCCCCTCCTCTTATTATCTTTAAGTCTTAATAAACAATATACTTAACTCATAGTTTCTCACAACACCAAGGCCAGTGGGGGAACGGAGGAAGAAAGGAGGGGGAAGGTGTGCCGGAGCAGAGTCTGCCCCACTGTATCCTGTGGCGAGACGGTGTCGTGGTTTAGGCCTGGTCGGCAGCCAACCGCAATGCAGCAGCTCTCTCTCCCTTCCCCTCCGGCAATGAGAAGGGACAGAGAGCCAGGCTTGGGGATTGAGATAGGACTGGGATGGGGGAAATATCCCCCTTTTATGATCACGAGCAAAAGGCAGACTCGTTAGGGGAAGAAGAAAAAAACATACATTTATTACAGACACTAACAACACATAACAGAGTAGGACAGTGAGAGGCATCGCCACATCTTGAGAACACCTTCCACCCACCCCTCCCTTCTTCCCGGGCTCAGCTGTGCTCCCGATATCTCTACCTCCTCCCCCAGTGGCGCAGGGGCAGGGAATGGGGGGTGCAGTCAGCGCTGCCACTTCTCTTCTCTTCGGTGAGGGGACTGTCCGGAATTTGTTCCTCCTTCTCCATCGTGGTCCCCCTCTCACAGGAGACAGTCCTCCACAAACTTTCTCCGACATGAGTTCCTCCCATGGGCCATTTGCACTTTCCCTGCCCACCAAGGACGGGCTCACACTGTCTCTGAAAGGCAGTTTATTGCCAAGGAGGAAGCCAGGCCGTTTGCGCCGTGAGTCCCCAGCTCGCGCTGCCACTGCTTTTCCTTCTGGAGGCAGCACGTCACCAAAGCGCTAAGGACGACTTCGGGAGATGACGATGTTGGGCCACCTGCGACGCTGAGGTGCCGTCCTGAGGCCCCGTGCTGTGCCCCGGCCACGCGCCGCGTCGGAGCGGATGGGCTGTGCGAGCCCAGGCCGGGCTCCAAGGTGGCTTCTGTCCCCTGGAGCCGGGAGCCCAGGGCCGGCGGCAGCCCTGCAGGTGCAGCCGCAGCGCTGCGGCGCAGAGAGGAAGGATCCCCTTCCCCGACCTGCCGGCAGCGCTCCCCATGCCGAGGGCAGGAGCAGAGCCGCAGCCTGGGCCAGGGCTGCAGCCCTGGGCTCGCACGGCCTGACCAGCACCGGTCGGCCAACAGTGCCAGCCTCGACGGCTGCCCCGCGGGACCTGCCTTTCGGCTCTGCGCTGGCTGCAGGAGCAGCCGCCCCGCTCCCGGGGGTGCCGAGGGCTCGGGCCCCCGCCTCGGCACTTCGCACCCACCCCTGTGAGGCGGCGGCCGGCTCCGAGGGGCTGGCACGTTCCTGAGGGCGTCCCTGCCCGTCGTTGGGGTGCATCCAGGCCAACGGTGCTGATGTCACTGTGGCCACTGTGACCCGCGGGGGACAAGCCTGCATAAAGCATCGCTGGGCTCAGGCTGTGCCTCAGTGCGACCTGGTGAGGTGAGGGGAGGGCAGGGGTGGACGGGGCTCGTGCGGGGCTGCCGAGGGAGGAGGGCGGCCCCGTGCCGGGGGGCGCTGGGCCTCTGCTGCAAGCTGACCCGTGCCCTGCTTCTCCCCCAGAGTCAACCGAGGAGCACTTGGGAGAGACACCCCAGCACTGCGGGGACAGCGACTCTCCCAGCACTCACCTGTTGATGGTGAGCATGATCTGCGAGGAAGCAGGAGGCCGCCGACTCGATAGGATCCAGGGTGAGAGCAAAGCATCCCTCCCGCAGCATAGCAGAGGGGCTGTCGGGGCGCTCAGCGTGGGGCCTGAGAGCGGATGGCAGGGGCAGGCAGGAAGCTCCCCAAGCGCCCCGGGGCAGGGCCCCTCCGTGCCGCAGCCAGCGGGGCCCAGGCTGGGCCGTGGGCACCTGCTGCTGGGACACCCGTGCCTGTAAGGCCAGCCCTCAGGGACGCTTGCCCCGGCCCTGCAGAGGTGAGCTGCTCATTCCCGCTGTCGTTTGCTCTCTCCCCTCCAGCATGCATGCTGTGTGGCCGGGCAGAGGCTGACCCGGACATCTGCGGGTACAAACTACAGAAGCGAGGGCTCTGCGCCCATCTCTTTTGCCTGGTGAGTGCCCCCGGGGCTCCCTCCAGCTTGCCGACAGGCAGCCCCGGCCACGCTCTCCTCCTCATCACCTCCTTGTCTTGTCTTTCCTGCGCAGTTTTTTGCCAACAGCCTCTTCCAGAAAGAGTCCCACAACGTGGGCCTGATGGGATTCCCCCTGAGGGATATTCGCCATACAGTCAAGCAGGCGTCACAGCAGGTAAGGATTGGAGAAGCTCAGGGAGATCTGTGGTGCCACGGGAGCGGTGTGGGAGCTTAGCCCAGACCCCAAGAAAGAAATCCCAGCCCTTCCAAGCAGCTCTGGGACAAAAGTCTCGCGCCCAGCAGCTCCACAGAGCCTCCACCCAGACCCAGCACAGGAGCCTCGTGCGCCGGGCGCATCCGCGGGCTCTAACCCGTCAGTGGGGCAGCATCCTGCGCCCTGCCCGGAGGCGTGGGACTGGCTCTGGAGGCCCTGAGGCTGCCGCTGATGGGGGCTGCTCTGCTCTTTCCAGCGCTGCTTCGTCTGTGGCGAGAGCGGGGCCGCCATCACCTGCTGCCAGGAGGGCTGCGACCGCAGCTTCCACCTCCCCTGCGCCGTGGAGGGGGAATGCGTCACGCAGTACTTTGGGCTTTACAGGTAAGGGTAGCCGGCCCTCCCACAGGAGGATCACCCACTTTTTTATACCCCTTTCTGACAGCATCAATAAGCAAACATAAAACAAGCCCACAGTGACACTTCCTAGCAGACAGTCATGGACAGAGCGAGTGGTGGGATTCCTTCACACATTATCACCCATCATTCCCACCAAAACACTCCTCACCTCACCCTTCCCTTTCCTCTTGCCTCCCCAGGTCCTTCTGCTGGCAGCACCGCCCAGAGCAGGCAGTGGAGGCAGCTCCGGGGGAGAACACCGCCTGCCTCATCTGCCTGGACCCTGTTGAGGACAGGAAGTCCTACGGCACCATGGTGTGCCCAGCGTGCAAACACGCCTGGTTCCACAGGGCCTGCATCCAGGTAGGAGCCCTTCCCTCGCCCACGGGGGGGGCACGGCGGGCGCTCAGCAGCACCAAGGCCTCACGCCTGCTCCTCATGTTTCCCCTGCAGGGACAGGCTGCGTGCGCCGGCATTTTCTTCCAGTGCCCTCTCTGTAGAGATGAGCATGCATTTCTCATGGAGATGTTCAACATGGGTATCCGAATCATCTTCAGGTTGGTGTCCTGCCCGCCCCACCAGACAGGAGGGTGCCAGCGTTGTGCCGTGCCAGGGACTGCCCCTGCGCTCCCGGCCCTCCGCTCTCTCCCCTCAGCCTGGGCTTCAGCTTCACGCAGGAGTCAGAAAGCGGGCAGGGGGGGAAGAGCAGGGACGCCCTGCCTCTGCCTTATGCCGGGGCAGCAGGGGCGCAGCATTTTTCCCTTGTGCTTCAGATTGCCATCATGGGAGAATGGACACGCAGATGATGAACAAAATGAGAGGCACAGCCGCTGCGATGCCCGTGAGTGCCTTTGCCCAGGAGGCAGGCAGCACACAAAGCGACAGGGGTAAGTTGCCCGAGCGGCAACCTGGACTCTGCCCAGGATCTCTGTCTCGCCAAGGGCTCGAAGCGGAGGGACGGAGAACAAGAGCTCTGCCGGACAATCCCGTGCTGCGGTCACTTTGTCCTCACAGCCACGCACCCGTTTGTTTCCCCAGGCCCTGGCAACTGCTCCTGTGCTGCTCCTGCGCTGCCGAGGGCACCCACAGACGATGCTCCCACTTGGGGACCGGCGCAGCCAGATGGGAGTGCAACAGCTGTGCTGGCCTGGGCACCGGTAAGAGGCAAAGCACCCGGGTGCCCCCGGGCGAGGCCTGGCAGCGGGTGCCCATTCTGGGCTTGGCAGAGCCCCTCTGCTCCAGGGGGGCTGGGGGCACAGTTCTGGCCTCTCCTGCCGCGGGCCTGGGGGGCCGTGCCCGTGACCTTCCTGCTCCCCCTTACAGCCTCCAGTGGCAGCTCAGAGGTGGCGGGTCCCATCACCGAGAGCCAGTCAGGATCGGGGCCGTCCCACAGCTCTCCAGCACCAGAGACCAGCAGCCCCAGCAGCACTGGTCTCCAGGCGGCATCGGGGCCATCCCAAAGCTCCCCAGTGCCTGAGAGCAGCAGCTGCTCCAGCCCACCTGGGCCTGACCGTGTGCGAGACCGAGCTCGCTCACGGCGTAGTGCCCAAAAACCCTACAGCCGGCCCACAAGACACCGTGGCAGGAGCAGTGCACCAGCACGCAGGGCTGAGAGGAGCACCCCAGGACAGTTGGCACGGGGACGGTCCCACAGCTCGCTTGTCCCTGAGTCCAGCAGCCCCAGCACCAGCACCACGGCGGCATCAGGGTCCTCCTCCAGCTTCACAGAACTGGAGAGTAGCAGCCCCAGCAGCACTGGTGGCCAAGGGGCATCGGGGCCGTCTCAAAGCAGCTCCCCACCACCTGAGAGCAGCAGCTGCTCCAGCCCACCTGGGCCCGACCGCGTGCGAGACCGCTCTCGCTCGCGGCGTCGGGCCCAAAAGCCCTACAGCCGGCGCACAAGAGGCCGTGGCAGGAGCCGCGCACCAGCACCCAGGGCTGAGAGCAGCAGCCCCGCACAGTCGGTGCCGGGATGCTCCCGTGGCTCCCCGGTACCCGAGACCGGCAGCCCCAGCACCCCCAGCTCTGCACGGCTCCAGAGCAGCCGCCGCCCCAGCCGCCCCGGGCCCGTGCGGGGACGAGACCGCTCCCGCTTACGACGTCGGGCCCAGAACCCTTACAGCCGGCCCGGACGCTGACGCGCGACCAGCCCTGCGCCGGCCCTGCCTGCTGGCCCTGATCCCCCTCCACCGGTACAATAAAGTTGACCGTTAATCTCTGCCCTGGGAGATTCCACGCTCCTTTGTTGGCTTCCGCCGGGCCCACAGGGTTGTCTTCTCCCCGGGGCTTGGCAGCACCTTCCCCAGACCTCCCTCCTCGCGGGCTGGCCTTGGCCGGCTGCCCAGCGCCATGGCCGTGGGCTTCGGGCCTCGCTGGCCCCGCAGCCTGCTCCGCTTCCCCGGGGAAAGTTCGAACGCACAAGCGGCAAAGCGCCTCTGCTTTCAAAGTTCCCCTCAGAGTCACCTCTGGAGGTGTGACATGAAGGTTGCTGCAGATGGTGCTGCTACAGTAGTAGCCAAAGGGCATTGCCCTTCCCCAGTTCCAGCTCCTGTCGCCCACCGTGGTTGCTGCTGTACCAGCTTGTCCTGGCTTTGAGGGAGCGGTGGGGTTTTTTGGTAGCAGGGGAGGGGGCGACAGCGCTGGCCCTCTCTGAGAAGCTTCTCCAAGCTCCCCCGGCTCCAAGCAGGCCCTACCTCTGCAGCAGGGCCGAGCCAAGCAGCTCCACCTCTGCGATAACGCATTTAAGAAGGGACCTGGTGAGGAGGAGTGGGACTTGTGAGGAGGACTTGCCGCAGCTGCGTGAACACCAAGGCCAGTGGGGGAACGGAGGAAGAAAGGAGGCGGGAGGTGTGCCAGAGCAGAGTCTGCCCCACTGTATCCTGTGGCGAGACGGTGTCGTGGTTTAGGCCTGGTCCGCAGCTAACCGCAATGCAGCAGCTCTCTCTCCCTTCCCCTCCGGCAATGAGAAGGGACAGAGAGCCAGGCTTGGGGATTGAGATAGGACTGGGATGGGGGAAAAATCCCCCTTTTATGATCACGAGCAAAAGGCAGACTCGTTAGGGGAAGAAGAAAAAACCATACATTTATTACAGACACTAACAACACATAACAGAGTAGGACAGTGAGAGGCATCGCCACATCTTGAGAACACCTTCCACCCACCCCTCCCTTCTTCCCGGGCTCAGCTCTGCTCCCGATATCTCTACCTCCTCCCCCAGTGGCGCAGGGGCAGGGAATGGGGGGTGCAGTCAGTGCTGCCACTTCTCTTCTCTTCGGTGAGGGGACTGTCCGGAATTTGTTCCTCCTTCTCCATCGTGGTCCCCCTCTCACAGGAGACAGTCCTCCACAAACTTTCTCCGACATGAGTTCCTCCCATGGGCCATTTGCACTTTCCCTGCCCACCAAGGACGGGCTCACACTGTCTCTGAAAGGCAGTTTATTGCCAAGGAGGAAGCCAGGCCGTTTGCGCCGTGAGTCCCCAGCTCGCGCTGCCGCTGCTTTTCCTTCTGGAGGCAGCACGTCACCAAAGCGCTAAGGACGACTTCGGGAGATGATGATGTTGGGCCACCTGCGACGCTGAGGTGCCGTCCTGAGGCCCCGTGCTGTGCCCCGGCCACGCGCCGCGTCGGAGCGGATGGGCTGTGCGAGCCCAGGCCGGGCTCCAAGGTGGCTTCTGTCCCCTGGAGCCGGGAGCCCAGGGCCGGCGGCAGCCCTGCAGGTGCAGCCGCAGCGCTGCGGCGCAGAGAGGAAGGATCCCCTTCCCCGACCTGCCGGCAGCGCTCCCCATGCCGAGGGCAGGAGCAGAGCCGCAGCCTGGGCCAGGGCTGCAGCCCTGGGCTCGCACGGCCTGACCAGCACCGGTCGGCCAACAGTGCCAGCCTCGACGGCTGCCCCGCGGGACCTGCCTTTCGGCTCTGCGCTGGCTGCAGGAGCAGCCGCCCCGCTCCCGGGGGTGCCGAGGGCTCGGGCCCCCGCCTCGGCACTTCGCACCCACCCCTGTGAGGCGGCGGCCGGCTCCGAGGGGCTGGCACGTTCCTGAGGGCGTCCCTGCCCGTCGTTGGGGTGCATCCAGGCCAACGGTGCTGATGTCACTGTGGCCACTGTGACCCGCGGGGGACAAGCCTGCATAAAGCATCGCTGGGCTCAGGCTGTGCCTCAGTGCGACCTGGTGAGGTGAGGGGAGGGCAGGGGTGGACGGGGCTCGTGCGGGGCTGCCGAGGGAGGAGGGCGGCCCCGTGCCGGGGGGCGCTGGGCCTCTGCTGCAAGCTGACCCGCGCCCTGCTTCTCCCCCAGAGTCAGCCGAGGAGCACTTGGGAGAGACACCCCAGCACTGCGGGGACAGCGACTCTCCCAGCACTCACTGTTGATGGGTGAGATGACTGCGAGGAAGCAGGAGGCCGACGACTCGATGGAGCCAGGTGAGAGCAAAGCATCCCTCCCGCAGCATAGCAGAGGGGCTGTCGGGGCGCTCAGCGTGGGGCCGAGAGCGGTGGCAGGGGCAGGCAGGAGCTCCCCAAGCGCCCTGGGGCAGGGCCCCTCCGTGCCGCAGCCAGCGGGGCCCAGGCTGGGCCGTGGGCACCTGCTGCTGGGACACCCGTGCCTGCAAGGCCAGCCCTCAGGGACGCTTGCCCCGGCCCTGCAGAGGTGAGCTGCTCATTCCCGCTGTCGTTTGCTCTCTCCCCTCCAGCATGCATGCTGTGTGGCCGGGCAGAGGCTGACCCGCACATCTGCGGGAAGAAACTGCAGAAGCAAGGGATCTGCGCCCACCTCTTTTGCCTGGTGAGTGCCCCCGGGGCTCCCTCCAGCTTGCCGACAGGCAGCCCTGGCCACGCTCTCCTCCTCATCACCTCGTCTCCTCTATCATGTGCAGTTTTTTACCAAGAAGCTTTTTAATCAAGAGAGTATGGATGGGGTAAGCCTGAAGGATATCCGACGCACAATCAAGCAGGCATCACAGAGGGTGAGGACTGAACAAGCTCAGGGAGATCTGTGGTGCCACGGGAGCGGTGTGGGAGCTTAGCCCAGACCCCAAGAAAGAAATCCCAGCCCTTCCAAGCAGCTCTGGGACAAAAGTCTCGCGCCCAGCAGCTCCACAGAGCCTCCACCCAGACCCAGCACAGGAGCCTCGTGCGCTGGGTGCATCCGTGGGCTCTGACCCAGCAGTGGGGCAGCATCCTGCGCCCTGCCCGGAGGCGTGGGGCTGGCTCTGGAGGCCCTGAGGCTGCCGCTGATGGGGGCTGCTCTGCTCTTTCCAGCGCTGCTTCGTCTGTGGCGAGAGCGGGGCCGCCATCACCTGCTGCCAGGAGGGCTGCGACCGCAGCTTCCACCTCCCCTGCGCCGTGGAGGGGGAATGCGTCACGCAGTACTTTGGGCTTTACAGGTAAGGGGAGCCGGCCCTCCCACAGGATGATCACCCACTTTTTTATACCCCTTTCTGACAGCATCAATAAGCAAACATAAAACAAGCCCACAGTGACACTTCCTAGCAGACAGTCATGGACAGAGCGAGTGGTGGGATTCCTTCACACATTATCACCCATCATTCCCACCAAAACACTCCTCACCTCACCCTTCCCTTTCCTCGTGCCTCCCCAGGTCCTTCTGCTGGCAGCACCGCCCAGAGCAGGCAGTGGAGGCGGCTCCGGGGGAGAACACCGCCTGCCTCATCTGCCTGGACCCTGTGGAGGACAGGAAGTCCTACGGCACCCTGGTGTGCCCAGCGTGCAAACACGCCTGGTTCCACAGGGCCTGCATCCAGAACCAAGCTATCTACGCTGGCTTCTTCTGTTTCCAGTGTCCACATTGTCAAAATGAATATCGATTTCTGATGGAAATGCTCACCATGGGCATCCGAATCCCCAGGAGGTTGGTTTTTCTATTCCAAGTCACCAGACAGGAGGGTGCCAGCGTTGTGCCGTGCCAGGGACTGCCCCTGCGCTCCCGGCCCTCCGCTCTCTCCCCTCAGCCTGGGCTTCAGCTTCACGCAGGAGTCAGAAAGCGGGCAGGGGGGGAAGAGCAGGGACGCCCTGCATCTGCCTTATGCCGGGGTAGCAGGGGTTCATTAACTTTCCCTTCTTTCATCAAAAGAATACCATCAGGTGAGGACGACAGTGCATATGAAGAGTTATATGAGAGGCACAGCCGCTGCGATGCCCGTGAGTGCCTTTGCCCAGGAGGCAGGCAGCACGCAGAGGAACAGGGGTAAGTTGCCCGAGCGGCAACCTGGGCTCTGCCCAGGATCTCTGTCTCGCCAAGGGCTCGAAGTGGAGGGACAGAAAACAAGAGCTCTGCCGGACAATCCCGTGCTGCGGTCACTTTGTCCTCACAGCCACGCACCCGTTTGCTTCCCCAGGCCCTGGCAACTGCTCCTGTGCTGCTCCTGTGCTGCCGAGGGCACCCACAGACGCTGCTCATTCATGAAACACAGCACAGTCATATGGGAGTGTGACAGCTGTGCTGGCCTGGGCACCGGTAAGAGGCAAAGCACCCGGGTGCCCCCAGGCGAGGCCTGGCAGCGGGTGCCCATTCTGGGCTTGGCAGAGCCCCTCTGCTCCAGGGGGGTTGGGGGCACCGCTCTGGCCTCTCCTGATGCGGGCCTGGGGGGCCGTGCCCGTGACCTTCCTGCTTCCCCTTACAGCCTCCAGTTGCAGCTTGGAGGTCACAGGTCCCATCACCGAGAGCCAGTCATGATCGGGGCCGTCCCACAGCTCTCCAGCACCAGAGACCAGCAGCGCCAGAACCAGCAGCACAGTGGCATCGGGGTCGTCCTCTTGCTCTGCAGCAGGGGAGAGCAGCAGCCCCAGCAGCACTGGCTACCAGGCAGCATCGGGGCTGTCCCACGGCTCCCCAGTGCCTGAGAGCAGCAGCTGCTCCAGCCCACCTGGGCCCGACCGCGTGCGAGACCGCTCTCGCTCGCGGCATCGGGCCCAAAAGCCCTACAGCCGGCGCACAAGAGGCCGTGGCAGGAGCCGCGCACCAGCACCCAGGGCTGAGAGCAGCAGCCCCGCACAGTCGGTGCCGGGATGCTCCCGTGGCTCCCCGGTACCCGAGACCGGCAGCCCCAGCACCCCCAGCTCTGCACGGCTCCAGAGCAGCCGCCGCCCCAGCCGCCCCGGGCCCGTGCGGGGACGAGACCGTTCCCGCTTACGACGTCGGGCCCAGAACCCTTACAGCCGGCCCGGACGCTGACGCGCGACCAGCCCTGCGCCGGCCCTGCCTGCTGGCCCTGATCCCCCACCACCGCTCCAATAAAGTTGACTGTTAATCTCTGCCCTGGGAGATTCCACGCTCCTTTGTTGGCTTCCGCCGGGCCCACAGGGCTGTCTTCTCCCCGGGGCTTGGCAGCACCTTCCCCAGACCTCCCTCCTCGCGGGCTGGCCTTGGTCGGCTGCCCAGCGCCATGGCCGTGGGCTTCGGGCCTCGCTGGCCCCGCAGCCTGCTCCGCTTCCCCGGGGAAAGTTCGAACGCACAAGCGGCAAAGCGCCTCTGCTTTCAAAGTTCCCCTCAGAGTCACCTCTGGAGGTGTGACATGAAGGTTGCTGCAGATGGTGCTGCTACAGTAGTAGCCAAAGGGCATTGCCCTTCCCCAGTTCCAGCTCCTGTCGCCCACCGTGGTTGCTGCTGTACCAGCTTGTCCTGGCTTTGAGGGAGCGGTGGGGTTTTTTGGTAGCAGGGGAGGGGGCGACAGCGCTGGCCCTCTCTGAGAAGCTTCTCCAAGCTCCCCCGGCTCCAAGCAGGCCCTACCTCTGCAGCAGGGCCGAGCCAAGCAGCTCCACCTCTGCGATAACGCATTTAAGAAGGGACCTGGTGAGGAGGAGTGGGACTTGTGAGGAGGACTTGCCGCAGCTGCGTGAACACCAAGGCCAGTGGGGGAACGGAGGAAGAAAGGAGGGGGGAGGTGTGCCAGAGCAGAGTCTGCCCCACTGTATCCTGTGGCGAGACGGTGTCGTGGTTTAGGCCTGGTCCGCAGCCAACAGCAATGCAGCAGCTCTCTCTCCCTTCCCCTCCAGCAATGAGAAGGGACAGAGAGCCAGGCTTGGGGTTTGAGATAGGACTGGGATGGGGAAAAATTCCCCTTTCTGATCACGAGCAAAAGGCAGCCTCGTTAGGGGAAGAAAAAAAAAGAACATACATTTATTACAGACACTCACAACACATAACAGAGTAGGACAGTGAGAGGCATCGCCACATCTTGAGAACACCTTCCACCCACCCCTCCCTTCTTCCCGGGCTCAGCTCTGCTCCCGATATCTCTACCTCCTCCCCCAGTGGCGCAGGGGCAGGGAATGGGGGGTGCAGTCAGCGCTGCCACTTCTCTTCTCTTCGGTGAGGGGACTGTCCGGAACTTGTTCCTCCTTCTCCATCGTGGTCCCCCTCTCACAGGAGACAGTCCTCCACAAACTTTCTCCAACATGAGCTCCTCCCATGGGCCGCAGCGTTCCCCACACTGCTCCGTCATGGGTCACTAACCTTCTCCGACTGGATTCCCTCCCACGGCTGCAGCCCTTCCCGAGCTGCTCCGGCGTGGGACACCCCCACATGCTGCAATCCTCCCAGCACTTAACTACATCAGCAGGGCTACCTTTTCCCAGGAGACCCCGGCCTTCTTTGGGCACCGTCACCTTGATCATACGAGCAGAAGCCACAGGCCATAAATCAATGTCTGCTCCACCGTAGGTCTTCATGGGTGGCAGGGGGGGGCCGCCCTGCCGTTTCACCACAGGATACAGGGGGGTCTCTGCTCCGGCACAACTCCCCCCTCCTTTCTTCCTCCATTCCTCCACTGACCTTGGTGTTCATGCAGCTGCAGCAACTCCTCCTCACAAGTCCGACTGCACGTCACCACATCCCTTCTTAAATACGTTATCGCAGAGGCGCAGCTGATTGGCTCAATTTCCCAAACAGAAGTGGAGCTGGCTTGGAGCTGGGGGAGCTTAGAGGAGCTTCTCACAGGGGGCCGCCCCGATAGCCCCCTCCCCTGCCACCAAAAACCACCACCACTCACTCAATCCAGGACAGACGGCCCCTCCCCGCCACCCATGGAGGTCTACGGTGGAGCAGACTCCGAATTATGGCCTGGGAGGGGCCTCACATTCCCTATTAAGGTGGCTGCACCCAGAGTTAGCCAGGACCCTGTGGGAAGAAGCAGCCCTCGCTGTTGTAGGTTGCCGCTGGGAGGACTGCAGCACGCGGGGGTGTCCCACGCCGGAGCAACTCAGGAAGGGCTGCAGCCCGTGGGAGGGACTCACGTCAGAGAAACTTTCTGGAGGACTGTCTCCTGTGAGAGGGGGACCACGCTTGAGCAGGGGGAAGAAGTTCCAGAAGTTCAACCCCCACCCCCGAAGACAGAAGAAGCGGCAGCACTGACTGAACACCCCATTCCCTGCCCCTGTGCCGCTGCGGGGAGGACGTACAGATATCCGGAGCGGAGCTGAGCCCGGGAAGAAGGGAGGGGTGGGTGTTTTTCTACATATGGTGATGCTTCTCACTCTCCTACTCGGTTAAGTGTGGTTGTTGCTAGTGTCTGTAATAAATCTATGTTCTATTTTTCTCCCCTTAATGAGTCTTGGCCTGTGACCATAATGGGTGATTTACCCCTGCCTGTCCTATCTCGAATCCCAAGCCTGGCTTATTTCCTCCTTCTCAGTGCCTTGGGCGGGTGGGGGAGGCAGAGAGGGAGTGAGAGCAGCTGCTCAGTTGTGCCCTCTGAGCTCAAACCACAACACAACTGAAGGCTTCCTTCTTGCAGCAGAAGACAAGAAAGCCTTTTGCGTAGAGGTTGCCAACACCAGGTAAGGAGCTGACACCGCAAGGCTCAGGGGAGACAGAGCAGCACTTGTTACTCAGGCCTCGAGCCCCGTCACGCGCCCTTGAGAGCAAAAAAGTCACACGTGTTCTACGGGAATGTCATACTGGGCCTGGGCTGCGTCCGTCATCCAACAGGAAGGATTTCCCTCCTGCTGGAGACCAGCAAGCCCCTCTCTCTCTAGTGCAGGGAGGAGAAAGGGCTGTGAATCGACGAATGAATGAAAAGCAAATGGTAATCAAACGGTCATGAAGCAATCACAAAAGGGTCACGAGAATCACAGAATCCCTTAGGTTGGAAAAGACCCTTACGATCACGGAGCCCAGCCGTTGACATGGACGACGCTGCCAAGGGCACCGCTAAACCATGTCCCCAGGTGCCACGGCTACACATCTCTTAAATTCCTCCAGGGATGGTGACTCAAGCCCTTCCCTGGGCAGCCCGTTGCGGTGCTTGGCAAAACTCGCCCCATCGACCCGGCCTGGGCAGATGCCTCTGTAGAGCCTCCCGACCCTCAAACGGACCAAACCGCCGCCGAAGCTGCCCCGCAGCCATTTGCACTTTCCCTGCCCACCAAGGACGGGCTCACACTGTCTCTGAAAGGCAGTTTATTGCCACGGAGGAAGCCAGGCCGTTCGCGCCGTGAGTCCCCAGCTCGCGCTGCCGCTGCTTTTCCTTCTGGAGGCAGCACGTCACCAAAGCGCTAAGGACGACTTCGGGAGATGACGATGTTGGGCCACCTGCGACACTGAGGTGCCGTCCTGAGGCCCCGTGCTGTGCCCCGGCCACGCGCCGCGTCGGAGCGGATGGGCTGTGCGAGCCCAGGCCGGGCTCCAAGGTGGCTTCTGTCCCCTGGAGCCGGGAGCCCAGGGCCGGCGGCAGCCCTGCAGGTGCAGCCGCAGCGCTGCGGCGCAGAGAGGAAGGATCCCCTTCCCTGACCTGCCGGCAGCGCTCCCCATGCCGAGGGCAGGAGCAGAGCCGCAGCCTGAGCCAGGGCTGCAGCCCTGGGCTCGCACGGCCTGACCAGCACCGGTCGGCCAACAGTGCCAGCCTCGACGGCTGCCCCGCGGGACCTGCCTTTCGGCTCTGCGCTGGCTGCAGGAGCAGCCGCCCCGCTCCCGGGGGTGCCGAGGGCTCGGGCCCCCGCCTCGGCACTTCGCACCCACCCCTGTGAGGCGGCGGCCGGCTCCGAGGGGCTGGCATGTTCCTGAGGGCGTCCCTGCCCGTCGTTGGGGTGCATCCAGGCCAACGGTGCTGATGTCACTGTGGCCATTGTGACCCGCGGGGGACAAGCCTACATAAAGCATCGCTGGGCTCAGGCTGTGCCTCAGTGCGACCTGGTGAGGTGAGGGGAGGGCAGGGGTGGACGGGGCTCGTGCGGGGCTGCCGAGGGAGGAGGGCGGCCCCGTGCCGGGGGGCGCTGGGCCTCTGCTGCAAGCTGACCCGCGCCCTGCTTCTCCCCCAGAGTCAGCTGAGGAGCACTTGGGAGAGACACCCCAGCACTGCGGGGACAGCGACTCTCCCAGCACTCACCGTTGATGTGCGCCATGTCTGCGAGGAAGCAGGAGGCCGCCGACTCGATAGATCTGGGTGAGAGCAAAGCATCCCTCCCGCAGCATAGCAGAGGGGCTGTCGGGGCACTCAGCGTGGGGCTGAGAGCGGTAGCAGGGGCAGGCAGAAGCTCCCCAAGCGCCCCGGGGCAGGGCCCCTCCGTGCCGCAGCCAGCGGGGCCCAGGCTGGGCCGTGGGCACCTGCTGCTGGGACACCCGTGCCTGCAAGGCCAGCCCTCAGGGACGCTTGCCCCGGTCCTGCAGAGGTGAGCTGCTCATTCCCGCTGTCGTTTGCTCTCTCCCCTCCAGCATGCATGCTGTGTGGCCGGGCAGAGGCTGACCCGCACATCTGCGGGAAGAAACTGCAGAAGCAAGGGATCTGCGCCCACCTCTTTTGCCTGGTGAGTGCCCCCGGGGCTCCCTCCAGCTTGCCGACAGGCAGCCCTGGCCACGCTCTCCTCCTCATCACCTCGTCTCCTCTATCATGTGCAGTTTTTTACCAAGAAGCTTTTTAATCAAGAGAGTATGGATGGGGTAAGCCTGAAGGATATCCGACGCACAATCAAGCAGGCATCACAGAGGGTGAGGACTGAACAAGCTCAGGGAGATCTGTGGTGCCACGGGAGCGGTGTGGGAGCTTAGCCCAGACCCCAAGAAAGAAATCCCAGCCCTTCCAAGCAGCTCTGGGACAAAAGTCTCGCGCCCAGCAGCTCCACAGAGCCTCCACCCAGACCCAGCACAGGAGCCTCGTGCGCTGGGTGCATCCGTGGGCTCTGACCCAGCAGTGGGGCAGCATCCTGCGCCCTGCCCGGAGGCGTGGGACTGGCTCTGGAGGCCCTGAGGCTGCCGCTGATGGGGGCTGCTCTGCTCTTTCCAGCGCTGCTTCGTCTGTGGCGAGAGCGGGGCCGCCATCACCTGCTGCCAGGAGGGCTGTGACCGCAGCTTCCACCTCCCCTGCGCCGTGGAGGGGGAATGCGTCATGCAGTACTTTGGGCTTTACAGGTAAGGGTAGCCGGCCCTCCCACAGGAGGATCACCCACTTTTTTATACCCCTTTCTGACAGCATCAATAAGCAAACATAAAACAAGCCCACAGTGACACTTCCTAGCAGACAGTCATGGACAGAGCGAGTGGTGGGATTCCTTCACACATTATCACCCATCATTCCCACCAAAACACTCCTCACCTCACCCTTCCCTTTCCTCTTGCCTCCCCAGGTCCTTCTGCTGGCAGCACCGCCCAGAGCAGGCAGTGGAGGCGGCTCCGGGGGAGAACACCGCCTGCCTCATCTGCCTGGACCCTGTGGAGGACAGGAAGTCCTACGGCACCCTGGTGTGCCCAGCGTGCAAACATGCCTGGTTCCACAGGGCCTGCATCCAGAACCAAGCTATCTACGCTGGCTTCTTCTGTTTCCAGTGTCCACATTGTCAAAATGAATATCGATTTCTGATGGAAATGCTCACCATGGGCATCCGAATCCCCAGGAGGTTGGTTTTTCTATTCCAAGTCACCAGACAGGAGGGTGCCAGCGTTGTGCCGTGCCAGGGACTGCCCCTGCGCTCCCGGCCCTCCGCTCTCTCCCCTCAGCCTGGGCTTCAGCTTCACGCAGGAGTCAGAAAGCGGGCAGGGGGAGGAAGAGCAGGGACGCCCTGCATCTGCCTTATGCCGGGGTAGCAGGGGTTCATTAACTTTCCCTTCTTTCATCAAAAGAATACCATCAGGTGAGGACGACAGTGCATATGAAGAGTTATATGAGAGGCACAGCCGCTGCGATGCCCGTGAGTGCCTTTGCCCAGGAGGCAGGCAGCACGCAGAGGAACAGGGGTAAGTTGCCCGAGCGGCAACCTGGGCTCTGCCCAGGATCTCTGTCTCGCCAAGGGCTCGAAGTGGAGGGACAGAAAACAAGAGCTCTGCCGGACAATCCCGTGCTGCGGTCACTTTGTCCTCACAGCCACGCACCCGTTTGCTTCCCCAGGCCCTGGCAACTGCTCCTGTGCTGCTCCTGTGCTGCCGAGGGCACCCACAGACGCTGCTCATTCATGAAACACAGCACAGTCATATGGGAGTGTGACAGCTGTGCTGGCCTGGGCACCGGTAAGAGGCAAAGCACCCGGGTGCCCCCAGGCGAGGCCTGGCAGCGGGTGCCCATTCTGGGCTTGGCAGAGCCCCTCTGCTCCAGGGGGGTTGGGGGCACCGCTCTGGCCTCTCCTGATGCGGGCCTGGGGGGCCGTGCCCGTGACCTTCCTGCTTCCCCTTACAGCCTCCAGTTGCAGCTTGGAGGTCACAGGTCCCATCACCGAGAGCCAGTCATGATCGGGGCCGTCCCACAGCTCTCCAGCACCAGAGACCAGCAGCGCCAGAACCAGCAGCACAGTGGCATCGGGGTCGTCCTCTTGCTCTGCAGCAGGGGAGAGCAGCAGCCCCAGCAGCACTGGCTACCAGGCAGCATCGGGGCTGTCCCACGGCTCCCCAGTGCCTGAGAGCAGCAGCTGCTCCAGCCCACCTGGGCCCGACCGCGTGCGAGACCGCTCTCGCTCGCGGCATCGGGCCCAAAAGCCCTACAGCCGGCGCACAAGAGGCCGTGGCAGGAGCCGCGCACCAGCACCCAGGGCTGAGAGCAGCAGCCCCGCACAGTCGGTGCCGGGATGCTCCCGTGGCTCCCCGGTACCCGAGACCGGCAGCCCCAGCACCCCCAGCTCTGCACGGCTCCAGAGCAGCCGCCGCCCCAGCCGCCCCGGGCCCGTGCGGGGACGAGACCGTTCCCGCTTACGACGTCGGGCCCAGAACCCTTACAGCCGGCCCGGACGCTGACGCGCGACCAGCCCTGCGCCGGCCCTGCCTGCTGGCCCTGATCCCCCACCACCGCTCCAATAAAGTTGACTGTTAATCTCTGCCCTGGGAGATTCCACGCTCCTTTGTTGGCTTCCGCCGGGCCCACAGGGCTGTCTTCTCCCCGGGGCTTGGCAGCACCTTCCCCAGACCTCCCTCCTCGCGGGCTGGCCTTGGTCGGCTGCCCAGCGCCATGGCCGTGGGCTTCGGGCCTCGCTGGCCCCGCAGCCTGCTCCGCTTCCCCGGGGAAAGTTCGAACGCACAAGCGGCAAAGCGCCTCTGCTTTCAAAGTTCCCCTCAGAGTCACCTCTGGAGGTGTGACATGAAGGTTGCTGCAGATGGTGCTGCTACAGTAGTAGCCAAAGGGCATTGCCCTTCCCCAGTTCCAGCTCCTGTCGCCCACCGTGGTTGCTGCTGTACCAGCTTGTCCTGGCTTTGAGGGAGCGGTGGGGTTTTTTGGTAGCAGGGGAGGGGGCGACAGCGCTGGCCCTCTCTGAGAAGCTTCTCCAAGCTCCCCCGGCTCCAAGCAGGCCCTACCTCTGCAGCAGGGCCGAGCCAAGCAGCTCCACCTCTGCGATAACGCATTTAAGAAGGGACCTGGTGAGGAGGAGTGGGACTTGTGAGGAGGACTTGCCGCAGCTGCGTGAACACCAAGGCCAGTGGGGGAACGGAGGAAGAAAGGAGGGGGGAGGTGTGCCAGAGCAGAGTCTGCCCCACTGTATCCTGTGGCGAGACGGTGTCGTGGTTTAGGCCTGGTCCGCAGCCAACCGCAATGCAGCAGCTCTCTCTCCCTTCCCCTCCGGCAATGAGAAGGGACAGAGAGCCAGGCTTGGGGTTTGAGATAGGACTGGGATGGGGAAAAATTCCCCTTTCTGATCACGAGCAAAAGGCAGCCTCGTTAGGGGAAGAAAAAAAAAGAACATACATTTATTACAGACACTCACAACACATAACAGAGTAGGACAGTGAGAGGCATCGCCACATCTTGAGAACACCTTCCACCCACCCCTCCCTTCTTCCCGGGCTCAGCTCTGCTCCCGATATCTCTACCTCCTCCCCCAGTGGCGCAGGGGCAGGGAATGGGGGGTGCAGTCAGCGCTGCCACTTCTCTTCTCTTCGGTGAGGGGACTGTCCGGAACTTGTTCCTCCTTCTCCATCGTGGTCCCCCTCTCACAGGAGACAGTCCTCCACAAACTTTCTCCAACATGAGCTCCTCCCATGGGCCGCAGCGTTCCCCACACTGCTCCGTCATGGGTCACTAACCTTCTCCGACTGGATTCCCTCCCACGGCTGCAGCCCTTCCCGAGCTGCTCCGGCGTGGGACACCCCCACATGCTGCAATCCTCCCAGCACTTAACTACATCAGCAGGGCTACCTTTTCCCAGGAGACCCCGGCCTTCTTTGGGCACCGTCACCTTGATCATACGAGCAGAAGCCACAGGCCATAAATCAATGTCTGCTCCACCGTAGGTCTTCATGGGTGGCAGGGGGGGGCCGCCCTGCCGTTTCACCACAGGATACAGGGGGGTCTCTGCTCCGGCACAACTCCCCCCTCCTTTCTTCCTCCATTCCTCCACTGACCTTGGTGTTCATGCAGCTGCAGCAACTCCTCCTCACAAGTCCGACTGCACGTCACCACATCCCTTCTTAAATACGTTATCGCAGAGGCGCAGCTGATTGGCTCAATTTCCCAAACAGAAGTGGAGCTGGCTTGGAGCTGGGGGAGCTTAGAGGAGCTTCTCACAGGGGGCCGCCCCGATAGCCCCCTCCCCTGCCACCAAAAACCACCACCACTCACTCAATCCAGGACAGACGGCCCCTCCCCGCCACCCATGGAGGTCTACGGTGGAGCAGACTCCGAATTATGGCCTGGGAGGGGCCTCACATTCCCTATTAAGGTGGCTGCACCCAGAGTTAGCCAGGACCCTGTGGGAAGAAGCAGCCCTCGCTGTTGTAGGTTGCCGCTGGGAGGACTGCAGCACGCGGGGGTGTCCCACGCCGGAGCAACTCAGGAAGGGCTGCAGCCCGTGGGAGGGACTCACGTCAGAGAAACTTTCTGGAGGACTGTCTCCTGTGAGAGGGGGACCACGCTTGAGCAGGGGGAAGAAGTTCCAGAAGTTCAACCCCCACCCCCGAAGACAGAAGAAGCGGCAGCACTGACTGAACACCCCATTCCCTGCCCCTGTGCCGCTGCGGGGAGGACGTACAGATATCCGGAGCGGAGCTGAGCCCGGGAAGAAGGGAGGGGTGGGTGTTTTTCTACATATGGTGATGCTTCTCACTCTCCTACTCGGTTAAGTGTGGTTGTTGCTAGTGTCTGTAATAAATCTATGTTCTATTTTTCTCCCCTTAATGAGTCTTGGCCTGTGACCATAATGGGTGATTTACCCCTGCCTGTCCTATCTCGAATCCCAAGCCTGGCTTATTTCCTCCTTCTCAGTGCCTTGGGCGGGTGGGGGAGGCAGAGAGGGAGTGAGAGCAGCTGCTCAGTTGTGCCCTCTGAGCTCAAACCACAACACAACTGAAGGCTTCCTTCTTGCAGCAGAAGACAAGAAAGCCTTTTGCGTAGAGGTTGCCAACACCAGGTAAGGAGCTGACACCGCAAGGCTCAGGGGAGACAGAGCAGCGCTTGTTACTCAGGCCTCGAGCCCCGTCACGCGCCCTTGAGAGCAAAAAAGTCACACGTGTTCTACGGGAATGTCATACTGGGCCTGGGCTGCGTCCGTCATCCAACAGGAAGGATTTCCCTCCTGCTGGAGACCAGCAAGCCCCTCTCTCTCTAGTGCAGGGAGGAGAAAGGGCTGTGAATCGACGAATGAATGAAAAGCAAATGGTAATCAAACGGTCATGAAGCAATCACAAAAGGGTCACGAGAATCACAGAATCCCTTAGGTTGGAAAAGACCCTTACGATCACGGAGCCCAGCCGTTGACATGGACGACGCTGCCAAGGGCACCGCTAAACCATGTCCCCAGGTGCCACGGCTACACATCTCTTAAATTCCTCCAGGGATGGTGACTCAAGCCCTTCCCTGGGCAGCCCGTTGCGGTGCTTGGCAAAACTCGCCCCATCGACCCGGCCTGGGCAGATGCCTCTGTAGAGCCTCCCGACCCTCAAACGGACCAAACCGCCGCCGAAGCTGCCCCGCAGCCATTTGCACTTTCCCTGCCCACCAAGGACGGGCTCACACTGTCTCTGAAAGGCAGTTTATTGCCACGGAGGAAGCCAGGCCGTTCGCGCCGTGAGTCCCCAGCTCGCGCTGCCGCTGCTTTTCCTTCTGGAGGCAGCACGTCACCAAAGCGCTAAGGACGACTTCGGGAGATGACGATGTTGGGCCACCTGCGACACTGAGGTGCCGTCCTGAGGCCCCGTGCTGTGCCCCGGCCACGCGCCGCGTCGGAGCGGATGGGCTGTGCGAGCCCAGGCCGGGCTCCAAGGTGGCTTCTGTCCCCTGGAGCCGGGAGCCCAGGGCCGGCGGCAGCCCTGCAGGTGCAGCCGCAGCGCTGCGGCGCAGAGAGGAAGGATCCCCTTCCCTGACCTGCCGGCAGCGCTCCCCATGCCGAGGGCAGGAGCAGAGCCGCAGCCTGGGCCAGGGCTGCAGCCCTGGGCTCGCACGGCCTGACCAGCACCGGTCGGCCAACAGTGCCAGCCTCGACGGCTGCCCCGCGGGACCTGCCTTTCGGCTCTGCGCTGGCTGCAGGAGCAGCCGCCCCGCTCCCGGGGGTGCCGAGGGCTCGGGCCCCCGCCTCGGCACTTCGCACCCACCCCTGTGAGGCGGCGGCCGGCTCCGAGGGGCTGGCACGTTCCTGAGGGCGTCCCTGCCCATCGTTGGGGTGCATCCAGGC